CGAAACAATGGTGTCGGAAATTTGCTCCTGCCATCTGGACAAAAAAAAAAAAGAAAAGCAATGCTGCCGCTCGAAATTTGCTCCTGCCATGTGGCTACTTACATGGTAGCACGTGATCTCATTTGTAGAATTTCGTTAACTTTGTTAACGGAGTTATGTGGGGGTAGACGAGAATGAAATAGTTTTAAAAGTTAATAGATAATTTTAAGAGAAAATAAAGTATTTACATTAAAATGAACAAAAAATAATAGTTAATAGGTGATTTATTAAATAAAACCGTAGATTTTTTGAACTGAAGTTAAAAAGACTAATGACAATAAATTGGAGAAGTGAATTCCGAAAATGTAAATAACACCATTCACTCCACTCCTCCATGAATATATAATTAGTGTGGGTTGATTCTTCACTTCTTTTATCCCTTATTACCATCATATTAATAATTAATTCATTGAGATTTATGATACCTCTAATTAATTTTAGTATGTTAATACTCCATTTAACTTTTTAGGAATGCATCTTATACATTTTAATGAGTGAAAAGAAATCTCGATATATATATATATATTTTGAATAAGGTGTGATTTGCAAATATAATTCAAGCACCTATCAAGTAGTCAATAAATTAAAACTTCAAATAAATCAGTAACTCTATTAAATTAATCACAAATTACAAGATAATTAGTATTTAAGACCAATTTTAACTCAATTAGTAATCTTAATATCTAAAATGTTTGAAGGGAGAATAATAGTATTCTCTAAGGTAGGAGTAAGCTTAAATCATGTGATTCATTTAATTTTTGGGCGGTAGTAACTGCCATTTGGCAACCTATGAGGAATTAATATTTTTTTACCTCAAAAAATAAAGTATAATGATATATAAACCGTAACAAAATGCATAACATATATTATAAAATGTAATATTGTAAGTATATATAAATAAAATAGACTGTCATTTGGTAAATGTATGGATTAAGTGTTCTTATATTTGCAATAATAAAATTATTATTGAAAAAAACATTATAAAATATAGACGAGCTCTTAATATTAAAGCCTATTCTCCATTTAATTACAGGATAACTAACTCTTATCGCGTTGGAAACTTTTCATTCCTTATCTCTCCAAAACCAAAATCAATTGAATTTAGGCTCTGGAAGTATGTTCAAAATTATCCAACCGTAAAAATTCGTCCTTTCCCCTTAATGTGCCGGTGCTATCTCTACAAATATTAAGACTACATATATAAATTGTATTTAGTTTAATTAATATTTTATTAATTTATA